TATTAATGCTCCATAAATGTTAAAAAATTCCTAAAGGGCATTTGATAAAAATAATTAATGTATGTCCCTGGTTTTATTTCTCTTTCTCTTTCTACCTCCCTCCCTCCCCCCACTCTTCCAGGTATGTGTGTATCCTCAGGCGTGGACACTATTGTACACTCTACATGAAGCCTGATGTGATCTGTGCTGGAGAATAGTCCATAGGTGCCTGAGAAGTGTGTGTTTTGGTGCTCTAGGTTGGATTGCTTTGCATCTGTCTTTTTGGTCCAGTTGGTCTAGCGCATTAAGTCCTGTTCCCTTGTTGATCTTCTAACTGTTGTTCTAATCACCTTGTGAGTGTGTGTGTGTGTGTGTGTGTGTGTGTGTGTGTAGTTGTGCACATCCATGCATGCATGTGTATGGAAGCCAGAGTTGACATCTGCTCTCCACTTTATTTTTTTTGACCAGGTTTCTCTCTGACCTGGAGCTCACTGATTCAGCTTGACTAACTGGCCAATGAGCCCCATGGATCCTCCTGTCTCCTCTTCAGCACTGAGATTACAAGTGTGCACTGCCATGCCTCATTTTTAACTTGGGTGCTGGGGATCCAAACTCAGGTCCTCATGCTTACATGGCAAGCACTTTACCCACTATGACATCTCCCCATATAGTCACCACAGTCAGGATGAAATCTCCTGCTGTCTTGTTACTGTCTATTTCTCCCTTCAGTTTGGTCTGTGTTTGTGTCATACATTCGATTGCTGTGTTGTTAGGCACATGTGCGTTTATAATTGTTACATCTTCTTGGTGAATGTGCCCTTTATTGTTATGTAATGTCCTTTGAAATTATTCTGATTATATGTGTGGTCACTCCTGCCCATACTTGCTTATTGTCTTAGTTTGTTTTGTGCCATGATAACAGAATACCCGAGACTAGGTAACTTAAACAAGCACAAGTTTATTTGACTCATTTGTGAAGGCTGAAAAGTTCAAGACAGAGTGGCTACATCTGTTAAGGCCTTCTTAATATGACTGAGGGCATCGTGTTGCAAGAAAGTGCAAACAGGAGGAAGGAAAGAAGGGCTGGGCTTGCTTACAAGCCACTCGTGATAATTAACCTGCTCTGGTCATAATGACATTAATTCACTCACGAGATCAAAGCCCTTGGGATTTCAGCAGTTCCTAAAGGTCCTACCTCACAGCACAGACACACTGGGGATTAAGTTTCCAGCACATGAACTTCAGGGGACACAGTTGAGGCATAGATGCTATATTTACATGGGGTATCTTTCTATCTGCTCACTTTTGGCTGGTGTCTTTACATCTGAGATTGCAATAATAATCATGGGGGGGAAATGATTCTTCACAAAATTCTCCTCCTAAAACAACCAACTTTCTACACCCTTAAGCTGTAGTAACTCATTTAATAATCAGCATAACCTTTATAGTAGTATTGTTGTTTTATCTTCCCTCCCTTCCTCCTTAGGTCCTCCTTTCTTCCTTTCCTTCTCCCTCCCTCCCTCCCTCCTTCCCTCCCTCCCTCTTTCCCTTCCTTCATTTTTTTGTGGTACTGGAGATTGAAACTTACCCCTGGGCTACATCTCCAGATCTTGGCTTTTTGAGATAGGATCTTACTATATACATGCAGACAAAGCACTTACACACACACACACACACACGAGAATTTAATAATGGACAGGGGCAAATGTGAGTTAGGTGCAATGATCTGTATGCATAAAAATGTCATAATGAAACCCAGTATGAAGTGTGCTAACTAAAATAATAAAAAAGACATGCTGAGAAAACTTTTTAAAAATAAGGTGCTAATGTGCCATGCTGTTGAGGATTGAGAGAAACAGTCAGCTGCCCATATCCTGAGCACTGCGGATTGCTTCTTCATTTTTGGAGGACAATTTAGTCACATCTATCAGTATTTCAGATCCACACAACCTTCGTCAACCTGGGGATTTCTCCCATACCTAACCTCACAAACGTTTATTGTAGCCTCTTGCATCTAAAATAGAGAAACAAAGGAGGCAGAGGCAGATGGTCTATATAGCGAGTTCCAGGCCAGCTGGGGCTATAGGGAGACCCTGTCTCAAAAAAAAAAAAATAGGGAAACAAGCCAGGCATAGTGGCTCACACCTGTAATCCCAGTACTCAAGAGACTGGAAGTAGGAGAATCATCAGTTTCAGGCCAACCTGGGCTACATAGCAACTTCAAGGGAAGACCCAGTCTAAAAAAGGAATGGAGAAAAAACCTAAATATCCAACAAGGATAAAATCACATAAAGTCTAGGGCTTCGGTTCAATATTATACTATTTAAGAAAAGATGAGTCTGTTGGATGCAGAGATGTGTGACATATTTTAACAAACAACACAAAGAGCACCAGCGAAAGAAGTAGGTACAAGTGTGCATTTGTCGATATTTGGGGAAAACTTGGAGAAAGCTTCGACAGGAACCTGGACCATGTTTATGCTCAGAAATGGGACAGAGTTCTGGGAAGCCAGAGCCAAAGTGCTTGATTTCATTTTCATTGCATAATTACCTGAAGCAGACTTTCCTATAGCTGCTTGTTTGGGGGAATTAAAGAATATTTAAGAGGAAACTAGTTATAAAAGAAGACTATTTGAAACGCCTCACCTGAGCCTCCTTCCTTTTCTTTTTTGGCAATGCTGGGGATCAGACCCAGGGCCTTGTGCTCGCTGGCAAGTGCTCTGCCACATCTGTCATCCTGGCCCCGGATTTCCATTTTAAGTTCTTTTCTCACTGGGTTCATCTCTTCTTGCATTGGCAAGTCCAGAGCTTCCAAGAGAGCTCACCCCCTCCCTTTCATTTTGTCCATCAGGAAAATGAGACCTAGATAGGTGTCGACCAGCTTCCCAGGGTCCCTGGCTAGTCTCTGCAGACTGGGCCCCCTGATACTGCTTTCAGGAGAGGGATTGAGGATGCTGTGTGAATTACAAAAGCCTCATTCTTGGATTTGTCTGCCTTCCCCCAGGGTGTGTACTGAGTATTACTTCCTGTGATCCATGGGGAATACATGTGGAGATGCAGACTCCTTCCTGTATGCCTTCCTGAACATTTGCTCTTAGTGGGATGGGCTAAGGCCCTTTAACTTGCATTGAGAAAGTTCTCCTCAGATGACTCTGGGGAGGGGAAGGCTGTGGTCCTCTGCGACCTCCCCTCAGCTCAGCCCTTTTGGCTTTATCCTACATTTAGGCTGAAGCTCCTACCCCAGTGAGGGAAAGAAAGATATTCCAGTTCATCAGGGGCAAATGTCAGGGCCTGAATGTCCCCAAATCCCAGTACAGTCCCAGTTCATGCCCAGCTGGGATGGCTCACTCAGGCCAGGAGCCAGCACTCACCCTGGATTTGGAGATGGGAGGCAGCCTGGAATTCCAGGGCACCTTTGAGCTGCCCCTCACCCCCACCAGAGCTCCCTGAGTTGGCCTAGTGGGAAAATGCTGACAAGCACATTGAGTCTGGGAGGGGCCTGGCCTGCTTGGGCTTGGGGAGGAGTTGCTGAGAGGCCAGGGAGGCTTGTGATCACTGCCCACTTGTCCTGAGAGTGTTCCATTGTCCCCATGCCACAGAGCCTTGGAGGAACCACTTTTGTGGTCAGGAATTGGTGGAACACTGTGAGGTCATTTGGAAGCACCTCTTCCTGGGGACTGGTCAAGAACAGGAAGGCCTAGGAACAGCCCTCCAGCCTGAGCCCCCACCAGCACCACCTGCTACTCCAGGTAAGTGCTCCTGCCATCATTCCCTATACTCCCAACCCTATCACCAGTTCCCCCATCAAGCTTGGGAAATGCAGCCATCCAGCTGTCCCATAGCCTGTGATAATCCAGTCAGCATTGGTCAAAGGTCATCCATAGACCTCCTAAACCACAGCCTGACTAGAGAGGGCCAGTAGGGACCTGACCCCCTTCATAGGACACTCAAGTGGCCCTGGCTCCAGAGACCTGAGAGAGACTCTCAAGCTGTGGTTAGCTTGCCTGTGTCCCTTGGCAATGTCTCAGGCTGAGATCCTGGCTGGGACCTCAGCACAGGGGTCTTGTTCAGCTGCCCTGGCATGGGGCAGGCTCAGGACCCAGCCAGACAGTGCTCATCTGAGAGCTTCCTCACTCCGGGCACCTTTTCCTCTGGAAAGGATTAAGACAGTATCTCACAAACTGGGAGCTGGAAGGGATCTTATTGAGTTAATCCAACTCTATCCTTCTTTACTTCTTAAGCATTGCTTATACCAGCAATGCAGTCCCAGATGTTGGTGTTGAACATGTCAGGAGAATCAGGTGTAATCTTGTCAAAATGGCACAGACAGCCCTTCTCAGGTTAGCCTCAGCCCACTCTCTGCCCCCAGGCACCTTTCCTCTCATGCTACCTCCCTGGTCACCTCTAGCAACTCACACCCCTTTGCAGAAGCAGCCCAACATCCAAAGCTAGAAGGCTTTCCCCCCATTTAAGAAAGTATGTTACTAAATGAATCTTGGAGAAAAGTCGAGGCAGTCCTCAAGGCTTATTGGGGAAACTACAATGGGGTAAAATCTTTGAGACTCACCTAGACCCTTACTTACTTACTTACTTAGACTCTTTGACTTACTTAGACCCTTTGAGACTGTCTAAGGTCTCTCTTACATAAACAAAAAAGTCAACCTGTATGGGCTGTTGGCCAAGAATGTTGTGATCGTTGCTGTTATCTGTAAAGGTAATCTTAGGTCTGGTTTTTTCTGTGCACAGTCATCCTTATGACTTCTTGTTCTTTACCTGGGAAAGCCCGCCAGGGCAAGTGGCCTTGGCTGTAGGCAGAATTTGCTTCTGTCCCTGAATGGCCACACAGCCTAGCTATGGGCCTAACCCTGCTTCCTCCCATCTAAAGACTGTGAGAAGCAGCTAGCAACTGCGACTATTGTTAAAAGCTCAGGGTTCCGAAGCCCCAGAAGGTCGGTCTCCACTCTCTGCTAGCCTTGCCATCTCTGTGTACCTCAGTCCCTTCATCCATGAGAAGAGAAAAAATAGAACCCTAAGGTCACTGAGGATGAAGTAAATTCATACCTGTAAGGTATTCAAAACAACGTTTATCATCCAGTTAGTGCTTATCATGTTATCCCTGCTCATTACAGTTGTCTCCCAGCCACACTACTGCCTGATTAACTTCCCTAAAGCAGAGTAGTCATCTTACTCCTAGGGCACAAGAGTCCATGATTCCCCATGGCCCATTTAATGACTATGCCCTAACCTTCCCTTTAGAGGTCTCGAAAGCAGAAACTGGATATATCTTATTTACCTTGTACATTATATGTAAGAAAACAATAATGCCCACTGAGACAGCATTTCCAACATCAAGGAGGATACACTTGAGTTCCTAAGGAGAGAATATAGCCACCTGCAGTCCCCCAGCTTGAGGGTTTGATTGAAGTTCTTCTGCCTCCCTGCTCATCTGCAGATGAGCAGACATGGGGATTGACTGTGGGGTCCACTGGATAAGGGTGGCTATGGTTTCCTCTGGGTCCACTGAGAACGCAAGGGCAGTAAACCTCATTCTAGACTCTAGCCCTGTCCACGTTAGAGTGAGAAGAGGTCAGCTGGCCACTGCTCAGAACAGACAGGAACCACAGCAGTCTTTTAAGCTCTATCCAGGCAGCAGACATGAAGTCACTGTCCTCACCACTGGGAACTGTCCAGAACCTTGGCTCCTATAACCCTAGGAAGCTGCAGGTTGGCAGAGTATCCAGAATCAGCACCTTAGATAGAGCACACAGTCTCTGTTAACCCACAAAGGAGAGGATGCACAGCTGGAAGAGGTTGATGCTGGGTGGAGTAGGATAGATCTGCCTTTAAAACCAGGCTCTTCCTCGTGTGCATGAATATCGGCCACATCCATGAACTTCCCCAAGTCTCTATTTTCCCATCTGTGAAATGGAAAGAATAATTCCCATGGCAGAGGGTAGAGACTACTGTAGGGCAGATGGCCAGTACCCTTACATAGGGCCCTCTGTGAGGGACTTAGTGCTCTGTACCATTCTGATCAGACCCACAGACAAAGCTTTTCTTCCCAGTGCCATGTCCTGCGGCCTGCTTGCTTTCCCTAGGTGCAGTGCCCCCACAGGCTTCACTCCAAAGTGACTGAAGACAGTGGTGGTTTATAGGGGAGCAAAGGAGGATTGGTCCAAATCTTCCAAGATTCCTGGCAGACTGGGAGGCAAGGAGGGAAGCAGCACAGTTCTGCCTGTTTTTTTTCTGATATTTTTCCACAAGGAGGCTCGGGGGCTGCCAAGCCCCAGGAAGCAAAGATGTGGTGCCAAAGAGAGCAGAACAGACTGCACTGGTTCCTGCAAGGCGGGACTTCTTCCTTAACAACTCAGCAAAAGGGTGTTTGTGCTCAGGTTTCAGGTACTGGGCTGGGCACTGAGGTTAGCAGCAAGTGAACCAGACTCATTTCTGCCTTCCTTCTGCCTTAGTTCTAATGGGGAGGGCAGGGCATTTGACAAGCAGCTTAAACTCTGATTTATTTATTTGTTTGTTTATTGACAGAGTCTCACTCCATAGTTGAGGCTGTCCTCAGACTAGTGGCAATCCTCCTGCCTCAAGTGCTCCCAAGTGCAGGGATTACAGGAGTGCACCACTATGCTTGGTCAGACAGCATAAACTCTAAATGAAGTATGTTAGGATGAGAAAAATGCAATATGAAAAAAAACCCTAAACCAAAAAAGCCTAAGGAAATAAAGGAGACTTGGGAATGCCACAGAGCTGTATTATTAAATAGGGTCACAGGACAAACCTTTCCAAAAACACTCAAGATCCAAACTGACTCCCTTGAGAGTCCCTGATGGGTTGTGGGTCTCAGAATCAGAGCCAAGTGACTTTTTTGAGATCCAAGGACAGGAGAAAGATCTAGAAACCCTTCTAGTCCCACCCCAGACAATGCCCTGCCTCTCCTCTCAAACCTTCCACGGTGCCCCACTTCCTTCACCACAAAGCACGAGTCACCCAGGCTGATTTAAGGCCTTGTAGTCTGGCCAGCTTTGCTTCAACAGACCCTTGACTCTGTGTCTCTGCAGCCAAGCCTGCCATTTCTGGAATACTCCAATCTCTACTTCCCTCTTCCTCCCATTTGTTCCTCTCTCCTCTGGTTTCCGTCAGTGTAGAATCCCACCTACCTCCAGAAGTTCTCCCTGTCCCCTGATCTATGAGCTCAGGGTCCACAGTCTCAGCACATACCTTTCTGTCTTGTGGGTCTTGCTCTGTCTTAGGTTTGGCATGGCCTTGCTGTCTGATCTGCCACCTGAGTATACGCTTAGGCTGTGGCTGTGTTCTTTCACCTCCAGGAGGTGGCAGATCAATAAACATGAGCTGAACTGTGTCCATGCTCAAAGGGCCCCATGACCCTGGTACAAACAGGGTCAGCGTTTGACCCCCTCAGACACCAAAGGCAGAAGGGAGATGTGAACAAGAAAGTAGGGGGAATGAACATGGAGGGAGAACGAAATCACCATATTTGCCCCAGATTGTCACAGACATGTTGGACCTCTCTTCTTCTCCAGAAATAGCTACTACTTCCTTCAGCACCCCAGGCCATTCCCTGAGTGGAATTAAAACAGCTCTAGCTATATGTAAGTGTAGCTCATTTTCTCTGGATCCATCCTCCAGATCAGGGTAGCTTTCCTGCAAGGTCAGCAGGAGGCTGGCTACTGGCCTGAGGCTTGTCTGTAACTGAAGTCAGTGATTCCCAGAACCATGTAGGAATGGGAGGACTGTGATATGGATGCTACCACAAGTTCTGGAGGCTGTAAGAGTTGTAACCTCTCAGACACTCGGCTCCTCCCTTCAGGGCCAACCTTCATCACCAGCAGGTCTGTAGATAGACAGCTTGCAGCACATGATTCTCAAGCCCTCATGAGTTCCTGGCTCTCTGGGGCCTCCATAGGCCTTGTGAGGCCATGTGAGCCAGACCTGCATCTTCAACCATCTGGCTCCCACCCACTGCGGGAACAGCTGCTCTCAGAGTACCACCAAGGCGGTCAGTGTGACTTCTGTCCTATTTAGACAGATGGAATCAGGGCCTAGGGACAGCCTTCACCCTGGCTTTCCTCCCATCTGAGGGTGGCACATTTCCATTTAGGACCTGAACTCCCCGGGAAGCCTGAATGCAATCTGGGCCCACAACTGTGCTGCCCCCTCTGCCTTCCTCTCAGTTTTTGTGTGTATGGAGGTTGCCTCTCAGAATGAGAGGCCTTTATGCCCTCAGGCTTGGCACATGGTTGACCTTTCAGCTCAGAGCTCAGGTGTCAATAGGCATTCCTGTCTTGGATTGTTGGGAAGGCTAAAATGCCCATGACTTGAAGGGTCTGAGATGAGCGCTTCACAACCAGTGAGCTATGAACTCATGGCAGCTAAGCCATCCATCTTTTAGGGACCATTTGGCTGGCCAGTGGCCCAGCTTCCAGACAGCCTTCTGGACACTGGGGAGAAGCAGATGCTTCCCCTCAGTGCTCCCCACACCTTGCAACCCTTTTACCTCTTGTCATTTTATGGGTCTCTGTGTCCCCAGAAACTCATGCTGGGCTGTAGGCTCCTTGGGTGTGGGAGCCAAGCCTAGGATGAATCAGTGATTCTCTGAATGGCAGCAATGCAGCTGGAAGAGACATCAAAGCTGAGAGAACCAGACTGAGCTTGATAGGCTTGGCTTCTAAGTCTGGCTTAGGATACCAGGCTGCCCACCCCAGGATCTGTGCTTGGCTGA